ACTTATAGGGCGAATGTTTTTGAAACCAAGTTTCGTCAGTACTGACAGAACTAAACTTCTGTAGACAGTAGGTTGAAGCTATACCGGCACCACAGCACCCCTGAACCCCAATTTTCTATCGGACCTTTAACAATTATTCCTCGAGTCCGAATGGCCTCTGAGTCAATAGCTCATGAGGCCGAAGGGGTTATTGACTCATAGGCCATTAGGGCGAGAGGAATAATTGTTTTAGTAGAATTCAACTACAGTGAAACCTCTATTAAGCGGACACCTTCGGGACCTTCCCAAGTGTCCGCTTAATAGAGGTTGTAAAAATTGCGCAATGTTTGTTAATGATCAATATTCAACGGTTACTCTGTACTGTGATAAAGTTGCATGTTGTTCATTACCTTTCATTGCCAACTTTAATTTTTTTTAAATGCAAAAACATTAACTGACTTCAGTACGTATTTCAAGGACGTAATCCAATATTACTATTGTCAATATTACTATTGTCAAATACAACTTATTTTAGTGTCCGCGTCAGCTTAATAGAGGTGTCCGCTGAATAGGGGATTCTTATAAAGGGAAATATAAGACGTTAATTTCGGAACCAGGCTTAGTGTCCGCTTAATAGAGGGTGTCCGCTTGATTGGGGGTCTGCTTAATAGAGGTTTTACTGCAGTTGGTCAAAAATATCGACATATTGTAACGAGTATGAATGCTGTATCGTGACACATCGCGTGGCAGACATTCGCGTCGCTTGGCTTGTTTACGTTCGCACGCATTGCGTGCCTATTGCAACTACTCTATTTGGGCGACGCCCAAATAATAAGACGCGCAACAAGCGCTTAGCGACCGGGCGTCGGATTCGAAGTAAGAGCTTCGTGTATTCATACAACTAAATTTTATGCCCTGGAGCTGGGGAAACTCTCATATATATATCGATTCATGATCATGTCGTGTATACTGAGTTTTTATTATTACATGTTTTTTTATTTTCTTCCGTGATTTGAATTTTCTATGTGGATTATATCGGTATAAAATTTCGCGAGAATGTTTATTTGCGGAATCTTTAATTTCGAAAGTTCTTTTTTTACAATCGCGCAAAACGCTAAAGAACCAGATAATTAAGTGCCAATACGGTCTAAATAAATAAGAGGTAGTTTCATTAGAAAATGAAACACGGCCTTACATCATATCAGGTTACTCTAAAGAGTAAGATAGATAAATAGCTACCGAGAAAAAAGTTAAAATATTTTTAAAGAAAGTCTTTAAAAGCCATTTCCTTCTCTTGACTGTTTAGCTTCTTAGCGTTTGGACCGCAAGGAAGAAACCACAATCAGCGACAAAATTAGATGAGACACTTTTCCCTAAAAGACCTTTCTGCCGTTTTACTGACTCTAAAAGGACAAAATAAAGCTTTTCTTCTCTCATCTCCTCCATGCAATGTTGTGCGGCTGTTCGAGTTGCCTTGTGACACGAAATTTACCACAAGGTACCTGTAGAAAACAACAAATACCCCAACTTTGAATGAAAGAAAGAGGGGATGGGTGTGAATTGTTTTGTTCTCTCAAGAGAGAATAGTTCTATGAAGTTACCCACGGGTACACTGCTCAACAATTTTGTCACCGATTGCAGCTCAAATACTTCAGTTTGAGATATTCTTGACTTTTTAGAGTCAAAATGATTTTTGTGAGTCTTTTGATCCAAGTAGATATGAGCAAAACACAACGCATAGGTTACTATGAGCAAAACAATGTAAGAGACAAATGAGTCCTCACCAATAGTCTACCACCGAGCCGGCCTCAGCCTCTGTTTCAAAGCGGGGCTAAGTGCAAAATCATTGATATGAAAATTTTTTTTATTCTCATGTAAATAAAACTCATTTTCACAAGAAAACTGGGATTTGCACTTTTTCTGAACTGGTATAGTGTATGGCTTCCTTCTTCTTATTGTCACACTGAGATGGCATGGAATACTATTTCTGGTTGACTCCAGGGGTTTTGCTTTAGAAAATATTACAGATTTAACTACGAAAGAGAGAGAATGTATGAAAGAGAAATATTGTAAAGCGAAATATTGTATATGTGTGTAACAGTTTATAAATTGCCAAGTAACAGTTTTATTTTCGATCGGATGTCATCAAACACATTTTCTTTAAATAAAATATTCTTGCGTCATACTCTTTTGTTTATATCATTTTCTTGAATTGTTACGAATAAAACATATTTTTTGGCAGAATGTCATCACACACATTTTCTTATAATAAAATTAACCTATTGCGTCGTGTCCTTTTGATCACATGATTTGCCAAAGTCTTTATAATCAGTTGACACCCCTTTCATATCATCATATCAAGATAAGACTGAGTGAAACAGCTACAGTGAAGCGAAACAGAGAAGTTTTTCCTCCGTGAAAATACAGGTAGGCTAAATCTCATCAATTAGATCGTTTATTTAGTGAAAGGTTTTCTTACCTGTAACAAGCATATAATATTGTTCAATGCCATGTTATTTGTGCACTTTCTAAACAAGCAACACTATAATTAGTGATCTCGAAAAGTTTCCTGTTGTTTTTACCGCTTTTTTGCGATTTCCGTGAGTGCATTGATAGGGTCAGAAACTAACGTAAGGTATTTTAATTAACAATTAATTGAACTGTTTTTGAAAAACCTTCTTCATTATCTTCGTATTTCTAAGTCGCAATATCTTATGCACAATTTTTTCTCTACCAGAAGCAATTGTCTGAAGTAGTTCGTGTTTTCCCCATTTAGCAAAAAAAAAAAAACAGAGAGAGAGAGAGAACGAGCCCATGCGGATTTATTTAAGACGGTCATTCCATCTAAGACAGACTTTCCATCCTTGACTTGTGGTCCTTTAGCACAAATTTTAAAACTCGTCCTTAATTAACCGGGTCCACTAAAGACAAGCTTCTTGATTCAAATGGTTTTCCTTCTCGAAAACTGAATCGGTTCAGCAAATAGACCTTTGCTTAATCCTCGCAATTCAATTTTCTTGCCATTCAAAACATTCAATTAATTTTTTCGATTTTCTTTATCACGGTAGTTCTTATTTTATTTATCAGAAGTGCGAACAAAGCTTTTACAACAGCAAGTTTCGGGGGGTATTCCCGGTTTAAAGTGATGTGGATGTTCGAATGGGAGCAAAAATCAAATGCCCAAAAAATCCCTGGACCAAAAATTACCCCCAAAAAAAAAAAAAAAAAAAAAATCCCATACACAACTACGCGGCCGGAATAAGCAGGCAAACTACGAATAACAATTTTCAGTTAAATCAAGCCATCCGACAAAATTTTTGCCAAATTTTCCTTAGCTACCCCAAGAAAATCCCGAAATCGAAAATTTCAAACCCAAGAAATCCTTCGATCAAACCCGTCACTTGAAATCCAGAGTACTACTCGGGTTTCGATCCACCCCAATTTCGAAAATCGAGAGTTTTGCGTATGACGTACTTCATAACAGCAAAACAGATTGTCGAATACGAAGCTTAATTGGAGAGACCTACAAGTAAAACGGAAACAACCACGAATGGGAAAAGAACCAAGTATCCTGTATTTTTTGGAAACCGAAATACACTCAACTAGAAAACGAACAACCCTCAACTCCGGTGAAAGGGCCTGCAATCAACTAAAATGGGTCAGTAAATTTGAAGTGTGACCATCCCCTTTAGGCATTTGCGTTGCCTCTAGGCTCTTTTGCCCACTGCACCGTGAGGTATTTGGAATCAAACGTCTGTCTCGGGGAGGGGAGACTATAGTAGAGTGTTACATTTTATCACCTTACATTGAGAAAGTTTGCGGCATTATTGTGTTTGCCAAATTTTCATGCGGTACTTCTGTAATTGTGGTCTTGAATTCTGATATTTTGGTATATCTAAACATGCGGAATTTTTTGTTATTGGCTCGGCGATTTTTAGCATGGTTGTGTCCAATTTTTCGATTTTTCATTGCAGTGTTACGGTGTTCGGTATACCCCTAGCCGCTCTTCAACTTTTTTTTGCGCATGCGTATACTTCTGCTACAAGACCGGCTTTCATAGTGTGATACCGTGACCAGTTGCGGTTTTAGAAAAGTGTACACTTTTAGTGCCAAACAATATTCCCATGATAATGTGTTATGCGGTTAAACCCATCAACAGAAATAATTAGAAAGGCATTTCTAATAAAGGATGCTGAAATCCTATAGCTCAGCCACAGCACCTTCACATTGTACCGTTTATTATTATAATTATTATAACTATCATATTATTATTATTATTATTATTACTATTTGAAAAGTTTATTTAAGTGTTAATCCAATCTTAAGTTTCTGTAATTTTCAAAGTAAGAAAAGTGTTGTTGTTGATGTGGTCATAGCAGCCAAACATCTTTAAGTAGCAAACCGAATTTAAATACTTAACAGTGTTTTTATCACGAATTTTCATCAACAAAGTATTGCCAATAACGAAACCTGTTTCAAATTATGACGATTATCCCATTAAGTTCTTTAAAGCTAAAAGTAAACTTTACCGAATTTCACTTCCACCAAAAAGAAACAATATGTTTATAAGGATTATTGCTGCAATTGACTCCTGGTACTGTAACCCCCTGCTGCTACTAAGTCGTTTAACTGGGGTAACAAAAAATAACTGCTAAAATCGTCGCTCTGAATATGAAACTGAATCAGCTACCGACATTGTCGAAAAGTGAGTTCGCAATAGTTGGTTACTAGGGTGGCCTGAGCGACTGGGCTACTGAATTCTGGAAAGCAGTTTCATGCCTTAATTGAAAGCTCAACAAAAGACTGAATCAGATTACGTGTCCTCTTGTTTGAAAATTACTTCACGCATTTCTTAACTGCCTGCCACATAATTTTGATTGATTTGTTCAGTCAATAAAAGTTTTATACTAATGTGAGTTTACCACTTGGCAAAATGAATGGTTGTTTTGGTAACAGTGCAAATACAAGTGAGGTTAATATTAATTAAAAGCTTTTTACTGATTTTTCCAGATCAAACCATCATGGCACAGAGTGGAAACGGAGCAGCATGTGAGAGTGATCTTACATCACTTGGTACCGGACAAGAGCTGAACTTTGATAATGACACACTGAAAGGTAAAGATTCTTACAACTGTTAATAGTGTATAACCAAAAGGCCCCTAATATAGCAAACTAAGGACAAATAAAATAAAATTTAGAAAAAGACAAAAAACCGTCATTTGAAAACATTCAACATACGGAAGTGGTTAAAGAGTCAAAGTCGACAGTATCTCTACTAAAAGTGGGTTTTTCATTTTCATTTTTTTATCTAGATTAGGCTTTTCGCAGAATTTCTTTTCGAGTTTATCACTTATGGCATAATGAATGGTTGTTTTGGTACTAGTGCTTTATATACAAGTAAAGATAGTGCCAATTTACAGCTTTATACTGATTTTTCCAGATCAAACTATTATGGCACAGAGTGGAAACGGAGCAAAAGTGAGAGTGATGTTACATCACATGGTACCGGACAAGAGCTGAACTTTGACGATGACACACAGAAAGGTAAAGATTCTTACAACTGTTAATACTGTATCACCAGAAGGACTTAAAGATTACAAACTAAGGACAGATGAAATAAAATATACAAAAAAGGAAAAAAACCGTCATTTGAAATTATTCAACAAACGGAAGTGGTCAAAGAGGCAAAGTCGTTAAACAGTATCTCTACTGAAGGTGTTTCTTTATCTAGATTAGGCTTTTCGTAGAATTTGTGGTCGAGTTCAACACTTGTGGCATAATAAATGGCTGTTTTGGTACTGGTGCTTTATATACAAGTGAAGATAATGTCAATTTATAGCTTTATACTGATTTTCCAGATCAAACCATTATGGTTCAGAGTGGAAACCATTATTGCACAGGGTGGAAACGGAGCTGCATGTGAGAGTGATGTTACATCACTTGGTACCGGAAAAGAGCTGAATTTTGATGATGACACACTGAAAGGTAAAGATTCTTACAAGTGTTAATTGGTACTAGTGCTTTATATACAAGTAAAGATAGTGTCAGTTAACAGCGTTATACTAATTTTTCCAGATCAAACAATTATGGCACAGAGTGGAAACGGAGCAGCAAGTGAGAGTGATGTTACATCCCTTGGTACCGGAAAAGAGCTGAATTTTGATGATGACACACTGAAAGGTAAAGATTCTTACAAGTGTTAATAGTGTATAACCAAAAGTCCTCTAATATAGCAAACTAAGGACAAATGAAAAAAAAATTTAAAAAAGACGAAAAACCGTCATTTGAAAACATTCAACATACGGAAGTGGTTAAAGAGTCAAAGTCGAAAGTATCTCTACTAAAGGTGGGTTTGTCATATTTTTTTTTTTTTTTCTAGATTTGGCTTTTCGTAGAATTTCTTTTCGAGTTTATCACGTGTCGCATAATGAATGGTTATTTTGGTACTAGTGCTTTATATACAAGTAAAGATAGTGTCAGTTAACAGCGTTATACTAATTTTTCCAGATCAAACCATTATGGCACAGAGTGGAAACGGAGCAGCAAGTGATAGTGATGTTACATCACTTGGTACCGGACAAGAGCTGAACTTTGATGATGGCACACTAAAAGGTAAAGATTCTTACAACTGTTGATAGTGTTTCACCAAAAGGCCTTTAATATAGCAAACTAAGGACAAATAGAATAACGACAAAAAATCGTCGTTTGATAACATTCAACGTTTGATAGATGACGACTGAAAGTCGTTAAACATTATCTCCACTGAAGGTGTTTTTTATTATTTATCTAATATTAGTTAATACTAGTTCATACTAGTTAATATTAATTTAGAGCTTTTTACCGATTTTTCCAGATCAAACCATCATGGCACAGAGTGGAAACGGAGCAGCATGTGAGAGTGATGTTACATCACTTGGTACCGGACAAGAGCTGAATTTTGATGATGACACACTGAAAGGTAAAGATTCTTACAACTGTTAATAGTGTATAACCAAAAGGCCTCTAATATAGCAAACTAAGGACAAATGAAAAAAAAATTTAAAAAAACACAAAAAACCGTCATTTGAAAACATTCAACATACGGAAGTGGTTAAAGAGTCAAAGTCGACAGTATCTCTACTAAAAGTGGGTTTTTCATTTTCTTTTTTTTTTTTCTAGATTAGGCTTTTCGTAGAATTTGTGGTCGAGTTTATCACTTGTGGCATAATGAATGGTTGTTTTGGTACTAGTGCTTTATATACAAGTAAAGATAGTGTCAATATATAGCTTTATACTAATTTTTCCAGATCAAACGATTATGGCACAGAGTGGAAACGGAGCAGCAAGTGATAGTGATGTTACATCACATGGTACCGGCCAAGAGCTGAACTTTGATGATGGCACACTAAAAGGCAAATATTCTTACAACTGTTAATAGTGTATCACCAAAAGGCATTTAATGTAGCAAACTAAGGACAGATGACATAAAATATACAAAAAAGGCAAAAAACCGTCATTTGAAATTATTCAACAAACGGAAGTGGTTAAAGAGGAAAAGTCGTTAAACAGTATCTCTACTGAAAGTGTTTTTTTCATTTTTTATCTACATTAGGCTTTCCCTAGAACTTGTGGTCGAGTTTATCATTTGTGGCATAATGAATGACTGTTTTGGTACTAGTGCTTTATATACAAGTGAACGTAATGTCAATTTATAGCTTTATACTGATTTTTTAGATCAAACCATTATGGTACCGAGTGGAAGCGGAGCAGCAAGTGAGGGTGATGTTACATCACATGGTACCGGACAAGAGCTGAACTTTGATGATGACACACTGAAAGGTAAAGATTCTTACACTGTTAATAGTGTATCACCAAAAGGCCTTAAACATAAGAAATTTATGGAGAAATGAAATAAAAGAAAGGAAAAAACCGTCATTTGAAAACATTCAACATTTGATACATGAAGACTAAAAGTAGTTAAACATTATCTCCACTGAAGGTTATTTTTATTTTTTATCTAATATTAGTTAATACTAGTTAATAGTAGTTAATATTAATGTAAAGCTTTTTGCCGATTTTTCCAGATCAAACCATTATTGCACAGGGTGGAAACGGAGCAGCATGTGAGAGTGATGTTACATCACTTGGTACAGGAAAAGAGCTGAATTTTGATGATGCCACACTGAAAGGTAAAGATTCTTACAACTGTTAATAGTGTATAACCAAAAGGCCTCTAATATAGCAAACTAAGGACAAATGAAAAAAAAAATTAAAAAAAGACGAAAAACCGTCATTTAAAAACATTCAACATACGGAAGTGGTTAAAGAGTCAAAGTCGACAGTATCTCTACTAAAGGTGGGTTTGTCATATTTTTTTTTTTTTTTCTAGATTTGGCTTTTCGTAGAATTTCTTTTCGAGTTTATCACTTATGGCATAATGAATGGTTATTTTGGTACTAGTGCTTTATATACAAGTAAAGATAGTGTCAGTTAACAGCGTTATACTAATTTTTCCAGATCAAACCATTATGGCACAGAGTGGAAACGGAGCAGCAAGTGAGAGTGATGTTACATCACATGGTACCGGACAAGAGCTGAACTTTGATGATGACACACAGAAAGGTAAAGATTCTTACAACTGTTAATAGTGTATCACCAAAGGGCCTTTAATGTAGTAAACTAAGGACAGATGACATAAAATATACAAAAGGGGCAAAAAACCGTCCTTTGAAATTATTCAACAAACGGAAGTGGTCAAAGAGGCAAAGTCGTTAAACAGTATCTCTACTGAAGGTGTTTTTTTCATTTTTTATCTAGATTAGGCTTTTCGTAGAATTTATCGTCGAGTTCAACACTTGTGGCATAATAAATGGCTGTTTTGGTACTGGTGCTTTATATACAAGTGAAGATAATGTCAATTTATAGCTTTATACTGATTTTCCAGATCAAACCATTATGGTACAGAGTGGAAACGGAGCTGCATGTGAGAGTGATGTTACATCACTTGGTACCGGACAAGAGCTGAACTTTGATGATGGCACACTGAAAGGTAAAGATTCTTACAACTGTTAATAGCGGGGCTCCCGCGCGCGCGAAGCGCGCTTGGGACAGAGCCCCATACCCATGGAATATGGTCAACCTCTTTTCGTTTGGTTGTCACGTGATTGACCGAGCGTACGTACGTACGTACGTACGTACGTACGCGTCTGCAGATTGTATGGGTGGGGTAGGGGAGACTATCAAAAGGAAGGGAGGGGTGTCTCAGGCGTGTCTTGGCAAGCCCACATCTTTAATATAGGAACAGAGGGGCATTCTGTCTGCGCATGTGCAGTACAAAGAGGCTTTTATAAGTAGCCGCTGAAACGCGCCCGCACGTGGCGCGCGCTTCCGCTTCCCGCTCTTTTTGAGCAAAACCAAAACAAAAAATATTAAATGCAAAATAGCCGTGTACGCAGGTCGGTTTGTTGTCTTTTTAGAAATATCGGTTTAAAATGCCAGTAAGGAAAGAAATACCTGTAATAACCATTTGGATGTTCTTTTGATGGTAAAATAGCAGAGGTAAACTGAAATGCAGCTCAAAGTAATGTCTGTACAGAAGTAATTCACCAGTTTAATTCGTAATGTCATTTTAAACACATCGCTTCTTTTAGTTCAAATGTAGTTTATATCCTGGACAAAAGCATTAAAATCAAGTTCCGAATTTGTCATATTACTCAGCAACGGTTATTTTAATGGCAAAATACTACGTTCGGCAAGAAACAGGCCGGCACTTCGTAGGACAGGCGGAGAGGGCGCTATTAGCTAACGAGAGTTCGAATGGGATGTCTTCAGAAACACGCCATATTTCACAGAAAATGAAGTTGAAAAATTCAGTGGCGCCAACAGCATGCATTTTTTCTGAGTGGACAACCTACATAAGCTGGTAAGGGAATGAATACGCTATTCACTAGAAGTAAAAACAAATTGGGGGACCGTGAAATAAAAAACTTTTTTGTCACTTCATATCACACGAACCCTTGCAGGGCAAAACTCAGCATCCACAAATACCTAGTTAAAAAGTGTTTCGCTAAGAGAACATTTAAGAAACTTGAGTTCATGAGGCTATCATAGCCGTAAATAAGAGTCACATAATATCTCGTAAAGCGCATTCAAACGGCATATCCAATGAACAATGCCGCGATCCACAACTTGAGAAAGGTTGCCACAAATTGCTCGATGGAAATGCACCAAACGTACTGGCAGGAAAAGTTCAGTCCTGATGGCGGTACATTTTTTAAATTTTGGAATCCAAGACAGCTGTAAAGAAATGGAAAAACACTTTTCATAGCAATACTTCGAGGTTGGGGGAGCGGTGAAGTTTTAAGAGCCCATGACTGTAAATATCGCGAATCGCTGGCCAGGCTAAAAAAATCGAAAATTCTGATAACTTGTCAGAAAAACCCCTTTAGGGAACTGTCTTCGAAAAAAATATTTTCAACTTTCAAGAATCTATAGTTTTCGAGAAAATGGGCAAAAACGAAAATAGCGGTTTTTACCTAATTAATTATGCAAAAATTAGAGTAAAAATGACCTACTTTATCGCGTCTGTACCGAGGCAAGATTCAAAGCTATAAAAGAGAAATATTTTTGTTTAAAAGAATTCTATCTTTTCTTTCTATCCATAGTATGTTTTCAACCATAAACTTGATTTTGAGTTTTTTATGGTTTTTTAAAAACTACCATCAATGGCACTGTTTAAAATGGCTAAAAATGAGCAACTTTAGAGGCAAAAAACTCACCTTGGTATGTGTGATACCTAGCCAAAATGTATACTAGGACAAAGTTCAGCTCATATATTAACAGAATATGAAATAAAAAATCTGGGTACTGCGGATTCGCTTTAACAAAATAAAAAGTTTCGTGACCACTAGTGGAAAAATGTCACAAATTTGCATAAGTCAAATTTGTAGAGAGCTGTTGCGGCAGCCGGTTTTGTTTCAATTCAGGGTCAGTATATAATGTTCGAAAACATCACGAAGCAAGAAAACGGTTTTTGATAAAGTTGATCTTAAAATATCAGAGTAATTAACCGTTCACAAAAAATAATAATAAAAAACGACCTCGAAGAAGCGTTATATAAAAAGCGCCGAATTATTATGTAAACTATATCCCATGTCTCTCGTTTCTTTTCCTAACATCCTTGTATTAGCATCCATCTGTATCATCGTAAATTCGCCTCCGGCATATCTAAAATAGGTAGGTACATTTTCCTTGAAATTTATTTTGAAGGAGATTTTTTGCAAACGGGATACACGGCGTGAGAGGAAGTCATAAACCGAACAGTTAGACTAACAATGTCACGTAACGACGTCTCGAGCAACTCCGCCTTCTTTTACTGATTTTTTTTCTCCTTATGAAATTTTATGGAAACTTTGTTTTGAACAGACAATGCGTTGTTCGCAACATCACTTGTTTCTCAATAGTTTATTTTCTTTTCAGAAATAAGGAATTCTAGCTTTACATGCCTGTCAGTTACGCACTAAAACTTTGCATTTTCTTGTCAGAGATGTTGAAATCTGATTTTTTTACTACGTATTACAAACAACAAACCGTCCCTTGGTTAATTTCTTTACTTTTTTCACAAACAGAGGTATAATTAGGCAGCTACCAAAGGCCTTAGGCCCTCTTTCCCGCAAAAAAACTGCCCCTTTTAGTTCATCGCGGAGTTGTACAAACTGCCAAGGGGCGTGCGTTTTCCTTCAAATACAAAATGATATTTGTTGATTTCAAAATATAATGTAGTAGCGCCTTAGTGGGTAAATCTATACGCCAAACCCATGAACCAAAACAAGTTCCAACCGACGCCGCCGAAGAACTGGAAAAGGAGACTACAGTCGAACCTACCGAAAGCAACCACCCAAAATGCGAAGACTTAGTGGTCGCTAACGGGAGGTGGTCTCTTACGAGAATCGAACCACAGGAGGATTCTTTGAGAAGAAAACTGGACACATCTACTTTAAGGAAGATAATTTATTGCATGCAATTTCCAAGTTAAGATATAACATATGTGCAGTTACATGTTGTTGTTCCTACCACAAGAGATCAGAAAACTCGTCAGGTGGTCGCTTACAAGAGGTTAAAAACAATGCAAAATCATTAAACAGTCGGCCCCAATTAGTGGCCGCGGGCGCTTACAAAAGAGATTCCAACTGTAAGACTTAAACCAGGTGGGTTTTGGTGTTTTGGATAGGTGGTCGCTTAAGGTAGGTACTAGCACTTGGAGGATCAACTGTACTCTAAAAGAGTAAATCCCTTTAACGGCGATGCGACTTGGATTTGTCCATGGAAGATAAGACTCCTTGTTCACCACTTTTCAGCTGCTCTAACCAACTCCCACCCATGTCGAGTGTTTGCAAAACGTAGCATCATCTTGAAAAGAGAAGCATCAGAAAGGTCATCCTTGACGCCCCTGGCCTATCGCAGTATGCAGCAACAAACTTGTATCGACGTAAGTAGCGTCGCCTTACTGCCCGGTTAGTAAATAGAGTAAAAGCGTGACTTGACTACGTTTTTCAGTTTACAGCAGACCCGAGTTTTGTTTAAAGAAATACCTGCCTTTTGCTCTGGAGTATTAACGTCACTGTACCCGCAATGTCCCAGCTCGTGCCTTCACACCGAAACGAGCGATCGAATCACTGTTAAGTTGTTAGCTACCCTTCTCTTCCTCTTCCCGACTTATCAGGAACATCGAAGGGCCTCTGCTCGCAGGGTAGTTGATAGCGACCAAGGAGCTAAATAACATAGCGAGGTAAGTAAGTGGCATCGGCGGTTTTATTTACGCCTAACCATTTCCCAAAGTAAAGAAGGAAAGAACTTCAGACAAAGGGAAAGAAGAGTTATGCGATAAACTGCTCTTAAATTGATGTTTAGCTATGGCATATGCGAGGGGGGTGGGGGCTATTTAATTGCTGAATAACATGTGCCGTTACCAAAAAAATTACGAAAAAACATTTTTTCTTTGGTTTGGAATTTTGACCCTGAAACTTTTCGCTCTTGACATTTGTGATACCGGGCAAAAAAAATCCAATATTTAGATATTTCCCTCTTAGCAGCAGGCCCTCTCATTACAGTGTCCTTAAGTTTGGACAGTATCTAATATTATACACCCGTAGGAAATAAACATGAGAACAGCTGGTTACAGATTGTCGATGTATGAGGCGGGGGTTCTGGGCTCCCTCTGAGAAGACCCCAAATCAAGGTCATATGCGAAACAGTTTCAGTGCCTAAATATAGTCTTACATAACAAAACTGGACCATAGTTTTGGAACAAATTGATGCGAAATAAAGACCATATTAGCTTTTTAAAATGAACTAGCAATTGGCATAGCCCCTTTAAGTCTTTTTGGCGGCCAATTTTAGTAGGAAAAAACCCCGCCTTTTGATAGACGTTAATACGATAGCCTTTTGATAGACGATAATAGACGTTATTTTTTTCGCGTTTTGGCGGGAGAGCGAAGGCAAGCGCTAGTGAGTGAGAAGCGCCAGACAGGGGCGATGGGGAAGCAGAGAAAACAATGGCCTGTCCACATACCATTGTTTTGTTGCATTCCACCCCAGACATACCCCTTAATGGTTCTCCTCACTCGCTTCGCGCTTGCATTCGATCTGGGTTCGGGCTCAATTGCCTTCCCTCGCCTGAAAAACGCACGCCTGTTATGCAGGCTAGCTAGTTAGCTTGATGTGGGAATGGCTGAAAAAGAGATTTGCAACACAAGACTGCTCAATTGGACGTACACTAATTTAGAAGCTTTTTTGGCGCATTCACAGAAGCCAAACTTTGGACATGTCTTACGAACCTATATCGATCTTTCTCTCCCGCTCTCTTTTTTCCCTTTGATTTTCTTCTTCTGTTGCTCCGGCACTTGATCGTCTTCCCACTGTCTTTGTTTTGCAAGGAATTTTGGCTGGCTAACTTTTCAGGAAAGGGACATTTAATTAATCTGTGGAGAATAGAAGGTGAATAGAAAAATGGGAAGTAGATTTTTTTACCCCAAATGTTGCTTTTTGTGTGTGTGTAACTCTCTCAAGATACACGAGGATAGGTGAAAATTTGCTTAATGAGGTACCAGTGGAAAAATCCATCCTTGTTGATTTTGATCAGTTTATAACCTTTGTCAATAAATTGAAAGCTAAATGGGCTCATGAAGGATATTCATTGTTAAAAAAAAAGAAAAAAACACCAAAACGACCCCAGTGTCGGCAGTACTCCCTCCATCTGATTTACTTTTTCTATTGAGAGGACAATTGCAAGGATCCATGAAGGTCCGTTCAATGAAGGTTTCAACTAATCAATGGCACAATTACGGGTCGGTCTACTCTGCGATCTTTGACCATCTTTGGGTGTTGGAAATCGTGTCTGGACTTAATAGTGTTGAACGCACGAATAGTGAAGAGGCAGAAAGAGGAGGTGGAAGAATTTCATAAAAGAGAGAAAAGGGAGCAATGATTACTTTAACCTTGTCTTTACTTACGTTATTTTTAATACACGAGACGATTTCACCAAAACATAACTTTAAAAAAAAACTACTGAGAAAATAAACTATTTCGGATTTTTATTGATTGAAAACTTATAGGGTCTGATGTATAGTGTTATTAATGGCAAATCGTCTAAAATGAGTGACGAATGAACCATAAAAGCATGTGCCCACTCCAAGAAAGATGTATGACCGCGAAATTCATTCTGGTGAATAAAGTAAAGTTAAGTCATCTGACAGGAATAATATTTCTTTACACGCTTCACAAACTCACATTTTTTATCGTACCGGTAAAATTAAGTCTGACTGTGCTGAGTTTAACAACGGTCACGCAATTGCAGAATACAGTGAGTACTCCAACAACCAACAACAATTGCTGAGCAACCTTAATTTTATAATGTACAATTAAGAAAAGCTAACATACAAATTACAAAACATTTAACATTAGCTATTCTCTTGGTTATGTTCAAGCCTCAAATATTGCGTGATGCTAACTGTATTAAAACCCGTCCTTGTGTACAATAGGAATATGAGATTCATCTATATGCAAATTTGCCACATTGTGTCACCAACCTTCAGAGCAATTTGTTATCAGGGATATCAATTTTTCAGATCCTTTACTTAATTTTAGCTTTATTTAAAGGCGCTTTCATCCTTTCTCCTACGTTTCGAATATACCACGTACCGAAACTACAAAGAAAAATCAGGCGGCATCATTTCTCTACAAATTTGACTTATGCAAATTTGTGACATTTTGCCACTGGTGGTCACGAAACTTTTTATTTTGTTAAGGCGAGTCCGGAGTACCCAGATTTTTTATTTCATATTCTGTTAATATAAGAGTTGAACTTTGTCCTAGTATACATTTTGGCTAGGCATCACACATACCAAGGTGAGTTTTTTTGCCTGAAGTTGCTCATGTTTTAGCCATTTTAAAAGTGCGCTTAGTGGTGGTTTTTAAAAAACTGTAAAAAATTCAAAATCATGTTTATGGTCTAAAACATACTATGGATAGAAAGAAAAGATAGAATTCTTTTAAACAAAAATATTTCTCTTTTATAGCTTTGAATCTTGCCTCGGTACAGACGCGATAAAGTAGGTCATTTTTACTCTAATTTTTGCATAATTAATTAGGTAAAAACCGCTATTTTCGGTTTTGCTCATTTTCTCGAAAACTATAGATTCTTGAAAGTTGAAAATATTTTTTTCGAAGACAGTTCCCCAAAGGGGTTTTTCGGACAAGTTATCAGAATTTTCGATTTTTTTAGCCTGGCCAGCGATTCTCGATATTTACAGTCATGGGCTCTTAAGCAATTTGACTTCAAAGATGACTCAAATTCCGAACAAAGCATAAAAATCTCTGCGGAAAAGAGCCTTATTACTAACAATCGACAAAATATACAACTCCCAAATTTACACAACATAAATATCATCATGTCGAGACTGACCTTTGAAGGTTTTCTTCTTCTGCAAGCATCCTGAGTGTCGGCTGATTGTGTTTTAAACACCCATGCTTATCCTATTTCTTGGCTTTGATACGCATTTTGATCGCTAAAATCTCCTCACAGAAAATGGCACGAAGCACCATAACAATCCAGAGCGTTACCAAAGTATGCAGCCATTTTACTTTCTTTCATCTCGATCCATGACATCAGCTACAACACGATCAGATCATCGAGCTAAAACCACCACTGCGCGCTCAAGTGTAAACAATGGCGGCAGGATTCAGTTGTTCCAGAATAGCTCGCACATGCGCAGACAGAATGCCCCTCTGTTTAATATAGGACATTAACAATATGGTCAATTGACAGCTGTCCAAACAGGATAGCCACTGACCAGTACCCCATGACCATATCGCGGGCTCATGTGTCAACTCATCGAGGTGACGTGATTTATTTGGAAGCTGTCCGCTGACCAGTTAACTGTTTTACTAGATCGCGAACAACGTTCAATCTCATACTTTTACTAGTTTGGGAGCACAGGAAAACTGATAATGCACACATAGGCAGGGCAGAAAAACCGCTGATTGGTTAAAAAAAATTCCACCGAGAGCATGCGCTTGCGCCTTCCGCTAACCATATGCAGATGCAGTTGGTTCTAAAGAATGAGCGATCCGAAGGAGCTACAATCGAGCGATCATGAATGTGGGATGTTTGGCCGAAAATAGAAGAGCGCTGTGTTGAAATACATCACTGAAAGGCCTTGTATATAATAGTATCATTTTGTTTTGCTTCGCTTTGGAGGTAATATTTGTGATTGTATTACGTTAAACGGACGGAGTCGTGCCAAGCAAACCATGTGCTTTTTTCGATCAACTTTCTTCTACGCGATTGTTTGGTTTTCCTGCAACAAGTCTCGGTGATCCGATAGTTACACAACTGAGTTTAAAGGTAAGGCATTTTTCGTCTTTGACATAGTGAACGTTTTTAGAGTTAATGAGTTAACCGAAATTTGCATTGGATGCTATTTATCCTCCACGAGATTGCGGCGGTGCAGCGTGCGCTGCGTGCAGGCGACTGCGGCACCTAACAGTTGGCGAAGCCATTGCTAAAAGTAACCAAACTTCCGAACAAAATAGCACTTCATAGCACCCTGAGTTACAAGTTTAATGGGCTTTTGATTCTAGGCTATATATACCCACACTGTTCAATGAATTCCTTGGTGTGAATTGTTTACATTGTTCCGCTAGAAGCGAAATTATTTTTTTGTACGCGTTGTCCAATTTGTAATTTCTTTAGATCAATTTATACCAACTGATTTATACAGTTAATAACTTTCTTTTTGGGCTGATATAGATTTGGAATGATTTTACTGTACAAAATTAGGTTGTTTTAAGAAAGGTGAAATTTTAAGGATGAATTTTTAAGCTTACATGTATCCAGAATTAGCAGAGTTATACACAATCCTTGCCCATATACAATGTGATATTTTGAAGTGAAAATCTTATTATATTTACATGTTCAAAATAACATCGAATATTTTGAAGACACTATCTTACTCCCGTACATCACATTGTCCCTTATTAGTATTCTCGACAGGACTATCACTATAGTTTTCTCACTGGCATAGTACTTGGGCTGAGTTAATCTTTTATAATGCAAAGTTCTCATATAATATTGTATGGACCAAATTCCAAATGCAAGCACAAGATCAGTTATTTGTTATCTAGCTAGTTGCATTGTTTTGAGATACCTATAGCAAGACAAAGGCAACAACAAAGGCATTGTTTAAGGTTTCTCTCCTGTGTTATTATGCCTATTCCTATTCAAGGTATTTTACATGAAACAAAGGGCTTGTATTATTTGTTTGGCTTTGCTTCTAAAAAAGGAAATGATTATTGTTTTGTTATTCTCATTTCAGGGAAACACTTAACTATTTACCCCTTTGTGGGTGTTCTGATGCTGAGTCAAGCCCCCTTTGCTCTTACAGACCCTGCCACATGTGACACACACCATACTAGTATTAACAATTACTGCTTCTCCAGTAGAGTCGGTGGAGTTTACATTCTTGGAATTTTTGTTGCTGTACTTAAATAAAGCACTTTGTGGAAGATGCAAAAGGGATTGTTTTGCTTTAATGAGTATCTTATTTGCTAGTGTATCAGGTTTGCCATCATCATCATCACTGTCATCATCATCTGAGTTGTCACTTCCATCATCATCATCGTCGTCATCATGATTATCATTGCTTCCGTCAGTTTCATCATTTCCTGCCAGTAAACCTTTGTTGAAACTGTCTGCAAGTTCTTGGATTCTTAAAGGAAGTTGCTCAGAGCAAATGGGGCACTTGACACCATACAGTATCGAGTAGTTATGATCGTTACAGTTTGAGGAACTACCAAGACAACTTTTGTGAAATGTGTGGCCACAGTGTGGCCTCATCTGTATACACTCTACAAGGTATTTGTTATTGTTTGTATCATGAAACATTGTACATGCTCTTTTTGGCACCCTTATGCAACATTTTTTGAAAGTCAATTATCCATTCAATATTAAATTTTCCATTTCAAATTCCTACATTGTGAGACAATGCAAAGTGGTATGTGGAAAAAATTTATGATGGGCTGTATGTAAAACTAGTTATTGACATTGGGAGTTGCCAATTTCATTTTTGAGGGGGAATTTATAATAAAGATATTTATGGTGCCAGTTAATTGTAAAATTTCTGTGGCATTGATTTATGCCAAAGTGTTAAATGGCATGAAAAGTTTGGATGAAATACATTACTAAAATCTATTACTTAAAAGTGTTATATTAATCTTTTTGTACAAGCTTGTGGCACCCAATGACTATTAGACCACTACCTTGACTTTTAGGTTTCTGATTTGTTGTAAATCATACCTTAATTCAACTAAACTTTTGTTTACATTTGTCAGGTCAAACTGGCTGAAATCAGCAGGTAGAGAGTCTAAATAACTGAATGTAAAATAATTTGACAAATGCTCTTGAAACAACTCGTTCACTTTGTTGGCATCAATTCCTCCCCGGCAGTTAACAATTGCACCCCCAGCAATTCGGACAGGTACAACCCAGTGGACATTTCTTGTTGTTGGCATTGCCGGTATAGATTCTTGGTGATCCACTACTCCAGTACACATGTGAAGGCACTTGCTCAGCTGGCTCTGTTTGGGGTCTTTTATAGACTGGACACAATGAAAATCATCTATAATGAGCAGGAGGAAGTTGTTGTTCTGTTGGGGAGGAAATTTTTAACTGGATCAGTGTACATCTATGGACTGATAAATTAAAGTCATTTTACTTAAACCGTGAAACAGGTAGAAGAATATTACGCACTATTATGTATTCATTCCATTGTCTTCTTTTGTTTACCTCTTGCTATTTTGCACTGTTTGTTAATATCTGTTTCACGGTTCAAATAAAATCACTCTATTTTTGTTGTTTTTGTCTCCTTGTTACAAGGTCCTTGTGCCTTCTATTTAGCCCCTGCTTCATTACATCCAGCCACCTCACCTTGTGTCAACTTATTGTTTTGGCCAGGGTGTTGTGCAGTGGCAGATGTTTAATAATGAATTGTTTCAGTACGTAAATACATGTACCTTTATGGCACTCTCAACGATCGCTTGTGTCTTCTGAATGCTTTTTCCAGACAATCCTTTTTTATGATTTAGCACACTTCTCGGGTGAGTGCTAAACCCTAGAAGTGAGCCAGCTGTCAAAGCATCATCACTGGCACCATGAAAGGACAAGTGCAACCCATAGTCTTGTTGTAAGCGATTGTTTTTCTGTTGAAAACAAACAAGCAACACTTGTGTCTATTACACACCATGGTGTTTAATTTAATTTAAGTGTCTTTCTAAAGTATGGTTCCTGTTATTATTATTATTACTATTATTATTATTATCATTATCATTACCATTATCATTATTAGTATTATTATTTATTTTATTTTTTATTATTATTATTATACACACTTGGTTTCTAAAGTAAGACAGCTGATGAAGCAGTGCCACAACTCGCAGTCTCAGTATTTCATGTCTTTTCTTAGAAAGCTGTTGTTTTTCATCATTCTTGACTAGACACAAGGCACGGTTGAACAATCCAGGGGTGCACTTGTTGGCAAATTTTTCCATGTCTGCAGGGTCGTATAGCCGCTGCCCTCCATCCTTGTAATGTTTAGTGAGACACTTGTGGAACGTTTTGAACTGCTCATCAAAAGTTGGCTCTGAAAATTAATAAAAAAATGTTTCTAATAAAGGTTGAAACTAGTCGTCTTTGTTTTGAATGTGTGGAAATTAAGAGTATGTCAATACAATACCTTCTAGCTTGTTGCATCTTTCTTTTAATGCTGCATTTTCGCGCTGTAATTTGGTGATTAATTGTTTTGCCTCTGCTAGCTCATTAACACTCTGCAAAGGGGCGGTCTGAGAGGTTCCATCCGTCCAAGTTATTTTCTTTTCTGCGGTAGTACATAGGACTGAAGTAGTACATTTTGTCTACAAATGTATAGGGCAAAATTTAATGCAAAATATGAATATTTTCTGAAACAAAACTAAGAATGTATGATCTGTTTCTCTACATTTTGACTGTTGTTTGAGTGTAAAAGAAACATACCTTTCTAGTAGTAGGGGGTTTGTAGAGAGCGTGGTTGGTAAATATGGGCGCTTCGTCCACGAGATTTAGGTGGCCTTGGCAAAGAAATGCACCTCCTTGGTAGTTTTCAAGGTTTGCTGCTACGGTGAGAATCCTCTGCGGACATGGCAGTAAATTGTTCCTTTGCGTGCAGGCATTTTCACTCGGAAAACAGCACCTCCTTTGACTTTCCACTTCCATTTTTCTTGCATGACCAAAACATAGCCAAACCGGCCTAGAGTAGCCACGTAAAACAGCCTCTTTTCCCGAATAATAATTAGTGGCACCCCAACATTTTTCTGACACGCTTCTTAATCTGGAGCCACGTTCACAAACATTTTCCATTATTTAATCAACTTTGGACTGAAGTTTCCGCCGGAAACGCACGCAAAAAGACCGGAACTTGACAGTGAAGCGGTCGGTAACTATTTTTTGACATTTTTGAAGCTTTTTGAAGCGGGAAAAAACGAGCGGCGTCTTCAGTTTCATTCATAATTTCGCGCGCAAAGCATGAGGCCGGGAAGCTGGCGCCTACCAGTCAGTAAGTGGACACAAGCCGTAGGCGAAGAGTTTGATGTTTACAAATCTTTTCCTTTTTTTACTTGTCCAAGGAAATATATTTTAGCGCTGCTATCTACCTTCTAAGTGCAAGAGGATCGATCCTTTTAGAGGTAAGATTGGCTGTACATTTGTGGAAGCTTCTCACCGGCGATTACGTTCGAGTGTTTTCACCGCGAGGGGGATGCAAAAACAAAAAACAGCAAGCCACAGAAAAACGTACTGTTCGATTTTTTTACGTATTTCTTATTTTGCTTCTTGGCTTTTAGCCTTTTGGTTGGTCGAATTTTGAACCTTAAATACTCCACCTGTTTCTTATTTTTGCAAATTGTTTAAGAGCTATTGGTCGTATAATGTCTCTATGAACCACACACTGTCCCGCGCATTTTCCGCAAGCACCCTAAAGTGTATTCCTGATCTGATTTCGCTACAACTCTTGACATCGCCTGTCAATGAGTTCTAGTTTGGGGATATCAGATCATAATTACCGAACTAGTCATGGTTAACTATGTATTTGGCTTCAAACTTTGCTCTCTTTTGTAGACTACTTGATTCGTTGTAAGATGGTCAGCGGAGAGCACAAACTGCCGCGAAAACGGCAACCAATCAGCGGTTTTTCTGCCCTGCCGCACACATATTGGACATCAATGTTTTGATCAATTGACAGCTGTCAAAACAGAGTACCCGCTGACCAGTATCACTTGACCGTATCGCGGGCTCAGGTGTCGACCCGTCGAGGTCAAGTATTTTTTGAAGTTATCCGCTGACAAGTAAACTAGTTTTCAAGTGATCGCAGGCTCAAGTTCAATTTTTTTTCTTAATTCATATGAAATATGTTGTGTTTATGTGCTGCACAATTAAAATTTTGATTGCAAACTGACCTCGGACGTGAAAATTCAGCCAGCTGTTACAGGCAGGGAAGACAGTTGCTTTTGTTTTTTCTCACAATGGTCACGCGTTGGTCACGCTCTACGTCCAATTTTTATGCTCTGATTGGTCAAAATTTAACATGTGAGTTCATGCGCAAAATTTATGCAGCATCTTGAATCTTGTTTACTTTAACAGCTGAAGCTGACAGAGTTTTGTGTCAACTTGTGATGTTTTTAACTGTCTTTTTCCACTGGATGTACAAAATGAAATTCAGCTGCTATCAGGAGTCTTCTGTTACTCATGGCTAGTTTGTTTATTGGGTTTTTGGTTGAGAAAACGTCGCTTGTCAAAGTCGGAAATCCGATTTCGGATGGCATCGTTTTCGTTTTCACCTTGCTTGATGCGTAAGAGGGTTGCAAAGTCTGAAGCGATACTGGCTTTACCTGATAACTTTCAGGAGCTGCATCTCGAATGGTAAGCCAGAGAAATTATTGTATTTCATGTTTGTTTTTTGTATCTAATTTAATGAAGTGGAGCGTAGTTTATGCGGGAATTTAGTTTATGCGCGTTTGTAAGTTTTGAGACAACGATCTCACCGAGTATCTGGTTTGATATAATCTTACAGAACTTTAAAAAGCCTTTAGACAGTTTCTCACCGCAAATAGAAAGAAAATGTTCCAAAGAATCTTTAGTTATAATTCTAGCCGGAAAAGAAAGCTTTGAGCGATTTTCTTGCCTCGAGTTCGTCTTTGAAAAAACAAACACCGGGAAGCTGGCTTAAAACATAAACTTCAGCAAACTTAAGCTTGAAGCTTGAAGACTCAGGATATTTAGGGACACTTTAATACTTGTCTTCCTGAATGAAAATTGTTGTCTCTGTTTATGTTTCACCGAATTATATTTCTTTTATTGATTGTTGGTAGTCTCTCTTGCAATTTTAATCGCTATGCCGATTGTTTTCAGTCGTTCAGTGAACATCGCTTGCAGGAGTTCTCAAAATGCCGCGCGTTAAACCATCAAATAAAAAATAAAAATGATAAATTCTTTATTATCTTGGAGCGTAACTCTGTTAATGTTCATTCAAACACTCGCTACAGCTCGCACTACAAAAGTGAGAACCGGATGGCCGTATAGGTGATTTTGGAAAAATTTTTTAACAGTTTATGAATATTGAATGAGAGCAATTTGTATTGTGAAATACTGCTTTCTGTCCATGGTATAAAAGGTTGGTTTACACGCACCCAGATTTGTTGGCAAGATTTTGCAAAGTAAACTTGTCGAACGCCAAAACGTTGGCCTGATTTTTTTCTAAGCCTAATTGATCTACGGTGATCAATAGCCATTACGGCTCTTAAATGTGATAAAAGATGATTACCAGTTTTTGAGTGTACATATGAGGCTATCAACTCGATGTAAGATTTGGTTCACTCTTGGGCTGTTTGCAAATTATTTTTCTCTAAAATCAGGTAGCCTTTCCCTCAAAAGTCACATAAATGTGCTCTAAAGTTAACTGAATTGTGGAATTCGAATACAAGTTTATTGTTTAATTTATATTATAAATTTACTAATGGGAGCCTCGCTTTTAGCCCTGGCTAAATCTATATATTAGTGTTTCACCAAAAGGCCTTTAATATAGCAAACTAAGGACAAATAGAATAACGACAAAAAATCGTCATTTGATAACATTCAACGTTTGATAGATAACGACTGAAAGTCGTTAAACATTATCTCCACTGAAGGTGTTTTTTATTATTTATCTAATATTAGTTAATACTAGTTCATACTAGTTAATATTAATTTAGAGCTTTTTACCGATTTTTCCAGATCAAACCATCATGGCACAGAGTGGAAACGGAGCAGCATGTGAGAGTGATGTTACATCACTTGGTACCGGACAAGAGCTGAATTTTGATGATGACACACTGAAAGGTAAAGATTCTTACAACTGTTAATAGTGTATAACCAAAAGGCCTCTAATATAGCAAACTAAGGACAAATGAAAAAAAAATTAAAAAAAGACAAAAAACCGTCATTTGAAAACATTCAACATACGGAAGTGGTTAAAGAGTCAAAGTTGACAGTATCTCTACTAAAAGTGGGTTTTTCATTTTCTTTTTTTTTTCTCTAGATAAGGCTTTTCGTAGAATTTGTGGTCGAGTTTATCACGTGTCGCCTAATGAATGGTTATTTTGGTACTAGTGCTTTATATACAAGTAAAGATAGTGTCAATTTACAGCGTTATAGCGGGGCTCCCGCGCGCGCGAAGCGCGCGTGGGACAGAGCCCCATACTCATGGAATATGGTCAAACTCTTTTCCTTTGGTTGTCACGTGATTGACCGAGCGTACGTACGTACGCGTCTACAGATTGTAAGGGTGGGGTAGGGGAGACTATCAAAAGGAAGGGAGGGGTGTCTCCGGCGTGTCTTTGCAAGTCCACATCTTTAATATAGGATTTTAGGACATTCACAATATGGTCAATTGACAGCTGTCAAAACAGGATAGCCACTGACCAGTATCCCATGACCATATCGCGGGCTCATGTGTCAACTCATCGAGGTGACGTGATATATTTGGAAGCTGTCCGCTGACCAGTTAATTGTTTTACTAGATCGCGAACAATGTTCAATCTCATACTTTTACTAGTTAAACTGATAATGCACACATATTGGACATCAATGTTTTGATCAATTGACAGCTGTCAAAACAGGGTACCCGCTGACGAGTATCACTTGACCGTATCGCGGGCTCAGGTGTCGACCCATCGAGGTCAAGTATTTTTTTGGAATCATCCGCTGACAAGTTACTAGTTTCCAGGTGATCGCAGGCTCAAGTTCAAGTTTTTTCTAAATTCATATGAAATATGTTGTGCTTATGTGTAGCCTCCCCGCAGACGTCCGTTGGGGTTCGTTTGTCACGCAATCATTTCTCCGTCGTCCGTTGGGTTTCGAAATGAATGCGTGACAAACGAACCCCAACGGACGTCTGCGGGGAGGCTAGTTTATGTGCTACACAATTAAAATTTTGATTGCAAACTGACCTCGGACGCGAAAATTCAGCCAGCTGTTACAGGCAGGGAAGACAGTTGCTTTTGACTTTTCTCACCATGGTCACGCGTTGGTCACGCTCTACGTCCAATTTTTATGCTCTGATTGGTCAAAATTTGACAGGTGAGTTCATGCGGAAAATTTATGCAGCATCTTGAATCTTGTTTACTTTGACAGCTGAAGCTGACAGAGTTTTGTGTCAACTTGTGATGTTTTTAACTGTCTTTTTCCACTGGATGTGCAAAATGAAATTCAGCTGCTATCAGGAGTCCTCTGTTATTCATGGCTAGTTTGTTTATTGGGTTTTTGGTTGAGGAATACGTCGCTTGTCAAAGTCGGAAATCCGATTTCGGATGGCATCGTTTTCGTTTTCACCTTGTTTGATGCGTAAGAGCATTGCAAAGTCTGAAGCGATACTGGCTTTTCTTGATACCTTTCAGGAGCTGCATCTCGGAGTGGAAACGGAGCAGCAAGTGAGAGTGATGTTACATCACATGGTACCGGCCAAGAGCTGAACTTTCCTGATGGCACACTAAAAGGCAAGTATTCTTACAACTGTTAATAGTGTATCACCAAAAGGCATTTAATGTAGCAAACTAAGGACAGATGACATAAAATAAACAAAAAAGGCAAAAAACCGTCATTTGAAATTATTCAACAAACGGAAGTGGTTAAAGAGGCAAAGTCGTTAAACAGTATCTCTACTGAAGGTGTTTTTTTCATTTTTTATCTGCATTAGGCTTTCCGTAGAATTTGTGGTCAAGTTTATCATTTGTGGCATAATGAATGACTGTTTTGGTACTGGTGCTTTACATACAAGTGAACATAATGTCAATTTATAGCTTTATACTGATTTTCCAGATCAAACCATTATGGCACAGAGTGGAAACGGAGCAGCAAGTCAGAGTGATGTTACATCACATGGTACCGGACAAGAGCTGAACTTTGATGATGACACACTGAAAGGTAAAGATTCTTACAACTGTTAATAGTGTATCACCAAAAGGCCCTTAACATGAGAAATTTATGGAGAAATGAAATAAAAGATACAGAAAGGAAAAAACCGTCATTTGATAACATTCAACATTTGATACATGAAGACTAAAAGTAGTTAAACATTATTTCCACTGAAGGTTATTTTTATTTTTTATCTAATATTAGTTAATACTAGTTAATAGTAGTCATTATTATATGGAGGAGAGTGTTTTACTGGGAACTAAACCACTCGTAGATTCCATACGCCACTTCATCCGGGACCCGAGTGGCGTATTTTCCGTATGTCACCTTTGTGAGTGTCGTATCGTTCAATTACGTCTCGATTCCCGCCTTTTGCTTTTGTTGAAATGGTTTCTCCATATAATAAAAAGAACATTACAGGTTGGCTCGAAGATATGAATTTTATGTTCTCGTGGCAAAAACAATATCTCACGAGTGAGCGAAGCGAACGAGTGAGATATTGTTCTTGCCACTCGAACATAAAATTCATATCTTCTCGCCACCGTGTAATATCCTCTATATATTAATTTAAAGCTTTTTGCCGATTTTTCCAGATCAAACCATTATGGCACAGGGTGGAAACGGAGCAACATGTGAGAGTGATGTTACATTACTTGGTACCGGACAAAAGCTAAATTTTGATGATGACACACTGAAAAGTAAAGATTCTTACAACTGTTAATAGTGAAGGACAAATGAAATAAAATTTAAAAAAGACAAAAAACCGTCATTTGAAAACATTCAACAGACGGAAGTGGTTAAAGAGTCAAAGTCGACAGTATCTCTACTGAAGGTGTTTTTTTCATTTTTTATCTAGATTAGGCTTTTCGTAGAATTTGTTGTCGAGTTTATCACTTGTGGCATAATGAATGGCGGTTTTGGTACTAGTGCTTTATATACAAGTGAAGATAATGTCAATTTATAGCTTTATACTGATTTTCCAGATCAAACCATTATGGCACAGAGTGGAAACGGAGCAGCATGTGAGAGTGATGTTACATCACTTGGTACCGGAGAAGAGCTGAACTTTGATGATGACACACTGAAAGGTAAAGTTTCTTACAACTGTTAATAGTGTATAACCAAAAGGCCTTTAACATGAGAAATTTAAGGAGAAATGAAATAAAAGATACAGAAAGGAAAAAGCCGTCATTTGATAACATTTAACATTTGATACATGAAGACTGAAAGTAGTTAAACATTATCTCCACTGAAGGTGATTTTTATTTTTTTTCTAATATTACTTAATACTAATTAATAGTAGTTAATATTAATTTAAAGCTTTTTGCCGATTTTTCCAGATCAAACCATTATGGAACATGGTGGAAACGGAGCAACATGTGAGAGTGATGTTACATTACTTGGTACCGGACAAGAGCTGAATTTTGATGATGACACACTGAAAGGTAAAGATTCTTACAACTTTTAATAGTGAAGGACAAATGAAATAAAATTTAAAAAAGACAAAAAACCGTCATTTGAAAACACTCAACATACGGAAGTGGTTAAAGAGTCAAAGTCGACAGTATCTCTACTAAAAGTGGGTTTTTCATTTTCTTTTTTTTATCTAGATTAGGCTTTTCGCAGAATTTCTTTTCGAGTTTACCACTTATGGCATAATGAAAGGTTGTTTTGGTACTAGTGCTTTATATACAAGTAAAGATAGTGTCAATTTACAGCTTTATACTGATTTTTCCAGATCAAACTAGTATGGCACAGAGTGGAAACGGAGCAGCAAGTGAGAGTGATGTTACATCACATGGTACCGGACAAGAGCTGAACTTTGACGATGACACACTAAAAGGTAAAGATTCTTACAACTGTTAATACTGTATCACCAGAAAGCCTTAAAGATTGCAAACTAAGGACAGATGAAATAGAATATACAAAAAAGACACAAAACCGTCATTTGAAATTATTCAACAAACGGAAGTGTTTAAAGAGGCAAAGTCGTTAAACGGTATCTCTACTGAAGGTGGTTTTTTTATTTTTTATCTAGATTAGGCTTTTCGTAGAATTTGTGATCGAGTTTATCACTTATGGCATAATGAATGGATGTTTTGGTACTGGTGCTTTATATACAAGTGAGGATAATGTCAATTTATAGCTTTATACTGATTTTCCAGATCAAACCATTATGGCACAGAGTGGAAACGGAGCAGCAAGTGAGAGTGATGTTACATCACATGGTACCGGACAAGAGCTGAACTTTGATGATGGCACACTGAAAGGTAAAGATTCTTACAACTGTTAATAATGTTTCACCAAAAGGCCTTTAAGATAGCAAACTAAGGACAAATAGACTGACGACAAAAAATCGTCATTTGATAACATTCAACCTTTGATACATGACGACTGAAAGTCGTTAAACATTATCTCCATCCACTGAAGGTGTTTTTTATTTTTTATCTAATATTAGTTAATACTAGTTAATATTAATTTAGAGCTTTTTACCGATTTTTCCAGATCAAACCATTATGGCACAGAGTGGAAACGGAGCAGCATGTGAGAGTGATCTTACATCACTTGGTACCGGACAAGAGCTGAACTTTGATGATGACACACTGAAAGGTAAAGATTCTTACAACTGTTAATAGTGTATCACCAAAAGGCCTCTAATATAGCAAACTAAGGACAAATGAAATAAAATTTAAAAAAAGACAAAAAACCGTCATTTGAAAACATTGAACATACGGAAGTGGTTAAAGAGTCGAAGTCGACAGTATTTCTACTGAAGGTGTTTTTTTTAATTTTTTATCTAGATTAGGTTTTCGTAGAATTTGTGGTCGAGTTTATCACTTGTGGCATAATGAATGGATGTTTTGGTACTAGTGCTTTGTATACAAGTGAACATAATGTCAATTTATAGCTTTATACTGATTTTCCAGATCAAACCATTATGGTACAGAGTGGAAGCGGAGCAGCAAGTGACAGTGATGTTAAGCCACTTGGTACCGGAGAAGAGCTGAACTTTGATGATGACACACTGAAAGGTAAAGTTTCTTACAACTGTTAATAGTGTATAACCAAAAGGCCTTTAACATGAGAAATTTAAGGAGAAATGAAATAAAAGATACAGAAAGGAAAAAGCCGTCATTTGATAACATTTAACATTTGATACATGAAGACTGAAAGTACTTAAACATTATCTCCTCTGAAGGTGATTTTTATTTTTTTTCTAATATTACTTAATACTAATTAATAGTAGTTAATATTAATTTAAAGCTTTTTGCCGATTTTTCCAGATCAAACCATTATGGCACAGGGTGGAAACGGAGCAGCATGTGAGAGTGATGTTACATCACTCGGTACCGGACAAGGGCTGAATTTTGATGATAACACAGTGAAAGGTAAAGATTCTTACAACTGCTAATAGTGTATCACCAAAAGACCTTTAATATAGCGAACTAACGACAAAAAAATAAAATATACAAAACTGACAAAAAATCGTCATTTGAAAACATTCAACATACGGAAGTGGTTAAAGAGTCAAGGTCGTTAAACAGTATCTCTACTGAAGGTGGTTTTTTTCATTTTTTATGTAGATTAGGCTTTTCCTAGAATCAGTTGTGGTCGATTTTACCTCTTGTAGCAAAATGAATGGCTTTTTTGTTACTAGTGCTTTATATACAAGTTAAAGGGGCTATGTCAGCTGGAGAGCATGTGCTCTGAGGTTATGCAAATTACTTTCAACTGTCAAAATTCTATTGTTTTTAACGCGTGACTTTCTCCATGTGCGCTCTGAGGTTATGCAAATTACTTTCAACTGTCAAAATTCTATTGTTTTTAACGCGTGACTTTCTTCATGTTCTCTGTCACGTCCAAGGTTCCGAATTTAGAGAGGTTAACAAGCGAAATGGGTTTAGATAAGGGATATTTCGATAGAATTTATGGAACGTTTCTTCTCTGGTTATGCTAGATCAAGAATAAAATTGTGACGACAATTTTACTTGTAGTTTTGAAGTAAAAACGCATGCCATTCATAAAATAGAGCGCAAACAAAAATTCAACTACAACATATTGTCTTATTCAACAAAATAAATGGAAGTTGTATTTTACAAACGAGCTACAAAAGACGCTAGACCGAAGATAAAGACCAAGACTGTTTCAAATCATTAGCAATTAGACTTGTCTGTCGCTATTGATTTTATAATTTAGATGCTGATAGAACAAGAGACCAAGTCTTTGTTTTGATCTTAGGGAAACATACATTATCGCGCAAAATTGTTCGATCGTGCCGAATCACTGCGACGTCGAGAAAAACAGAACCCAGTATCATTGGTATACTACTCCACTATAAGCAGTCCGTTGATAAAAAGGGAAAGTAAACTCTGCTATTTTCCAAAATTATGCTCGAACACAAACAGTTCAAAAACATGGCATTTACAGGATCTAACTCGTACTAAGGTGTCTCTCTAAGTCCGTTGAGAACAATCTGGACGAGCAAACGGTCGTGTTTATCTTTGCCGTGAATCGAGATAAATACAAGAAGGAATCTAGCCGAATTTTAGAATGTTTCCTTCGCCAGGAGTTTAGTTTCGTCACGAAACTCATGGCCTGATGCTCTTGTAATCGTTTACAAAAAACGGCCGCCGCCAACTCGATAGCCGCTTCATTATATGTCCACATACTTTGAGTACAAGAAAAATCCAAGAGCCAGCAGCCTCTAAAATAACTCAATAGAAAGGTCCTGTGAACTATAGGGAAGATTCCATCAAAGATTCCATCACTCGTTGTGGAGTAGCCGTCATTAACTCTGCCATTACAACGGCCGCTGATAAGAGGACACAGTAAATCCACGTAAAAACATTCCACAGGCAAACAATTTTAAAATAACGCCAAAAAATTGTTCTGTAATCACCACAAAACGATTCTTAATACAAAACTTCGCTAACTATAGAGCGATGGCTGAGATTTAGACAGATAAAAACAGCCTTCCAAAATCTCCGACACAACTTGAAAAAGTTGGGCTGTCTTTTTCAAGTTTGTTTTCATTGGCTCGCGCATGCGTGTTGTGTGACATAGCCCCTTTAAGATAATGTCAATTTATCAGTTCGGGAGTATGCCAGTTTTGGAAGAAGCGAAAACAATGGTCTACGTCACCAACCATAACATGATCACCATGGCGATGGTCATTTTCAAAACATACAAAATGGCGGACAAGGGAGAGGAGAAGAGAGAGTATTGACCAAAATTCTCGTTTATTCTTGCTTTATCGAGCCTTTTATTTGTCTTTTCGTTACTATGAATTGGGAAGTACCTTGAGGACAGGGAGTAACCATTCTTGCGCTATAGTTCTTCGCTTATCGCGCGCTTAGTAGGCACTGCGTACTCACTGCCGTATGTAATCAGTACATCGAAAATAGGTAAGCACGCCAACAAGTTTGTGCCTATTTATTTCATTATTTTTTTATATCATAAGGAAAAAAGAACGCTTTGGAAACAACTAAAAAGTGAGTTGTTCTATAATTCATTTCCTTATGTTTGCTTTCACAGTAAGTGTTAATGTAATTTTTCCCGTTGCTTCTGTTTCTCTCCCGCGAGTGAGCGACTGGCCGGAGAAGACGGCTATAATTCAGGTTATTGTTTTTGTGCAAGCGAGTCATTTGTGAGTATAATATCAGTTTTTTCGAATATGATGTTCTGTTGGTTTATGTCTTAAAGCGGTTCCGTCCAGGTATACAACAGGTTTACAAGGGATTTCTGAGGGTATTTGTGCCCTCGTTTTCTTCTTGAAAACCCACAAAGTGAAAATCTTACATATCATCCCTGATCATTTTTGTTTTTGTCCCGCTTCAAAAAAACCTATTGCTTTCAATTATTCCACTTTCTGAAGTTCACTGATTATTTGGTCAAGCTTAACAAATGCAAGAGGCTCTTTAGAATTTAATAAACATATTGGAAAACTAAGAATTATGCTTGTTACATGCTTTTGGATCTATTGATTAAAATGGGACACTATAGTCTTGTAGTCCACCGGATTTGACCGGAGGTCAGAGATCAACAAGGTTATGGTTTGTTATAAAATATCCTCTTGTATGGGATTTGATGTTACATCCGAATAATACTAAATTATTGTTTTTAACTCTGGAGTTGCCTTTAAACCAAAGGCATTGTAACTTTGAGGAGCACTTTTCTCCAAGTCTTCTCTGTGGGGACCCTCAAACAATTCTATTAGACAAGTTTTGCCCCAAAATAATAATGATTACTGCACTTGGCATGGACACAACATAAGTTTTCCAAAGTTCTTTTTCATAGCCCGTTCTTCATGTTTCTATTGAACAGCACTTTCAAGAAAACAAAGCTCACACATCAGAGTAAAGATTGTAATAAAAGTTATTTATTGTTACATTTTGTTTTTTGTAAATAAACATTTGATTTTAGGTCCTGACAGTTAATTCTTTCCGTATTACTGTTTTTGATTTATTTCTGACCTGCATGACTCGCTGCCATGGCTCTCTGGCTCGCATATTATACACACTCTTTTATCTCAAAATCTTGTTTTTTAACACCTTCTTGGACATGAAAACCAAAAACCAAAACTTATTTGATATAATGAAGACAGTAGCAGCTGACATCGATTTTCAATAGTTATCTTGTGAGATGTCTCTCATGTATTATTTATTAGGGAGGATGATTTGTTGAAGACGATGCATTAACATAGATGCTTTTTCATCAAGAGAATCTCAATAATTTAGGATTTCTTCAAACACACACATATTCGACATTATGAAATCAAATGTGGGCTTATTGCTCATGCACAGGGATTGATGGGGCAGAGTGGCATTTTTCATGTTTCAGATTGACCTTTTGCACAGCACAGGGACTGAACATATTATGTATTTGGCATCTGTAAAGTATAAACAATATTTGACGCGAGGGATTGAACATTATGTAGAGAAAATCTTCACAAGCCTCCACTTCCATGACTCCTTTCTCATCTATCTCCTTTAAAGCCCCTTGAATAAAGGCCACAGTCTCTTCTATGGTTGAATGGTCATTGAGTGTGAGCTTCCACTCACAAGGTATATAAGCCCCCCGTCCAACCTGTTTCCCTCTTCCCCATTTTTGAAAGGGTCAAAGGAGGGGCTTTTGAGGTGGGTAAGCCTGTGACCACACTACAAAGAAACAAAAAAAAAACATGATTAATTTTATTGAGGTAGGGTTGAATTTGGACATTAAATTTTTCATTACAGTGGAACATAAGGCGAACCTAAAGCAATATTTTGCCCTCAGAGTACAAATATGTCGTTCTGAAGATATTTAGCATTTTGTCTTCCTGGTTCCTTTTCCCAGCTTTTTGGCACAAACGCAACAACATGTTTGTACTATCTCCAGATGTTTGTGTACATTTTGGACGGACATCCTGATCAAAATAAAAGAAATCAATATAAGAACCTACTCACACCGATTTAAAACTCATTCCACACACATGATCTGGATCAATAAAGTGATTTCTAGATGAAAGTCGCATACATTGCCGGTGAACACAACCAAAAACAGACCTGATCGATTATAACTAAAACTACACAGACAGACTAAGGCATAACCATCAATATTAGTAACCCTTCCTGTCCGTTGGCAATTTTCAATGTGTGGTTGCCATTTTTCCTAGGTTGTTGCCATCGATGAAACTTTGCCTGAACACACTTTACATGTTGTAGTTTTGAGGAAAATTAGTCTTGATTTCGTAAAAATTCGGCAAGATACTGAAAACTAAACATAAATTCATGTACTTACATTCGATACCCGTCAAGATGGCGGCGGCGGCGGCGGCGAAGGCCATTTGAAAACTGTCGCTTTTAACTACCGAAATGTGGCAGGAAACGTCCCTTGACTTTAAAAAAGCAAGGAGAAGGCTTCTTCATCGGTACTGCTAGCTCGGAAGTCCCAGATATTGAACGAGGAGACCTGCAACAGGCTTTGAAAAAAGCTCCCTTGTTTCTTGCTATTATTTTTTCCTATTTTTGCGTGTTTTTAGCAGAACAATGGAATCATGACGTCATCGCTTCTTCCAAAACTGGCATACTCCCGAACTGTTTATAGCTTTATACTGATTTTTCCAGGTCAAACCATTATGGCACAGAGTGGAAACGGAGCAGCAACTGAGGGTGATTTAACATCACTTAGTACCGAACAAGAACTGAACTTTGATGATGACACACTGAAAGGTAAAGATTCTTACAACGGTTAATAGCGTATCACCAAAAGGCCTTTAACATAAAAATTTAAGGAGAAATGAAATAAAAGATACAGAAAGGAAAATAACCGTCATTTGATAAGATTCAACATACATAAAGACGGAAAGTCGTTAAACATTATCTCCACTGAAGGTGGTTTTTATTTTTTATCTAGATTAAATAAACTTTTTCTAAAATTTGTGATTGACGAATTCCTTTACTGTATTGCTGATTCACCGTTACATATAGCCCTGCATTAGCTCCCGCCAAGTATGATTCCTATTTTCACGCCAACCCGAAAGATGCACACGCACCGCATAACGGTTTATTAGTGTGAGCTACAACTTTAATGCATTTTCAGCATTTTTAGTATTTTTAACATCAGAAAGTGAGGAACGGAACGACCAAATTTGCCCCTATTTCACAAGTCTGTAACTAATGTCATGATCACCGCCATCGGATGAGTTAACAAGTGACAGCATTTGTCTAAAGGAGGAATAAATTATCTCCGTCGTATTTTTGGTTTTAATCTGTATGAAAGAGACGGAGATTGAAATGAACACACAAAAAAATTGCACACGATAGTCTGTATTGTACTCTTACCTTTTGTACCCACAATTATAATTCACCATTTTATTTTTTTATACCATAGCAAGTTTCGTTCCCAAGGGGTATTCCGGATTTCAAGAGAAGTGGATGACCGAATGGGGGCAAAAATCAAAACCCCCAAACTTCACTGCACCAAAACTTATCCCCCCAAAAAATCCTATACAGAGCTGCTCACCAACAATATTATTCAGTTAAAATCAAGCCAACTGAGAAAATACTTACCAAATGTTTCCTATCCCAAAAGAATCCCGGAATTGAAAATTTTAAACCCAAAAAATTCTTTTATCATCGCCATCACTTGAAATCCGAAGTACCTCCACTGGGGTTTCGTTCCACCCTAAATTTCTTATTCGAAAGTTTTGCTTATCACGTACTTCATAACCGCAAAACAGATTGTCGAATACGAAGCAGAATCAGAGAGACCTATAAGTCAAAAGGAAAGAATCACGAATGGGAAAAGAACCAAGTATCCTCTATTTTTTGAAAACCGAAATACACAGTCAACTGCAAAACGAAGCGCCCTCAACCCCGGTGAAAGGGCCTGCAATAAACCCAATGATATTTTGTTAGTTCTAAACATGCGGAATTTTTTGTTATTTGCTGGGCGATTTTAGCATGGTTTAAGTTGTCGAATTTGTCGATTTTTCTTCGCTGTGTTACGGAGTTCGGTATACCACTAGCCGCTCCAATCTTAATTTTTTAGCATGCGTATACTTCTACTACAAGACCGGCTTCGATAGTGTGATATCGTGCCCAGTTGTGGTAGTATAAAGAGTTTCACTTTAGTGCTAAACAATATTCCCATGGTAATTTGTTATGCGGTTGAAGACCCTCGTTGTACCCATCAACAGAAACGTTTAGAAAGGTTGCATTTATATTCATGGATGACGAAATCCTATGGTGCAACCACAGCACCTTCACATGGTACCTTTATTATAATTATTAACATTATGATTATGACGGATGATATTGATGATAATTATTATTAATTGAAAAGGTTATTTCAGTGTTAATCCAATCTTAAGAGCCCATGACTGTAAATATCGCGAATCGCTGGCCAGGCTAAAAAAATCGAAAATTCTGATAACTTGTCAGAAAAACCCCTTTAGGGAACTGTCTTCGAAAAAAATATTTTCAACTTTCAAGAATCTATAGTTTTCGAGAAAATGGGCAAAAACGAAAATAGCGGTTTTTACCTAATTAATTATGCAAAAATTAGAGTAATAATGACCTACTTTATCGCGTCTGTACCGAGGCAAGATTCAAAGCTATAAAAGAGAAATATTTTTGTTTAAAAGAATTCTATCTTTTCTTTCTATCCATAGTATGTTTTCAACCATAAACTTGATTTTGAGTTTTTTATGGTTTTTTAAAAACTACCATCAATGGCACTGTTTAAAATGGCTAAAAAATGAGCAACTTTAGAGGCAAAAAACTCACCTTGGTATGTGTGATACCTAGCCAAAATGTATACTAGGACAAAGTTCAGCTCATATATTAACAGAATATGAAATAAAAAATCTGGGTACTCCGGATTCGCTTTAACAAAATAAAAACTTTCGTGACCTCCAGTGGAAAAATGTCACAAATTTGCATAAGTCAAATTTGTAGAGAGTTGTTGCGGCAGCCGGTTTTGTTTCAGTTCAGGGTCAGTATATAATGTTCGAAAACATCACGAAGCAAGAAAACGGTTTTTGATAAAGTTGATGTTAAAATATCGGAGTAATTAACCGTTCACAAAAAATAATAATAAAAAACTACCTCCAAGAAGCGTTATATTAAAAAGCGCCGAATTATTATGTAAACTATATCCCATGTCTCTCGTTTCTTTTCCTAACATCCTTGTATTAGCATCCATCTGTATCATCGTAAATTCGCCTCCGGTATATCTAAAATAGGTAGGTACATTTTCCTTGAAATTTATTTTGAAGGAGGTTTTTTGCAAACGGGATGCACAGCGTGAGAGGAAGTCATAAACCGAACAGTTAGACTAACAATGTCACGCAACGACGTCTCGAGCAACTCCGCCTTCTTTTACTGATTTTTTTCTCCTTATGAAATTTTATGGAAACTTTGTTTTGAACAGACAATGCGTTGTTCGCAACATCACTTGTTTCTCACTAGATTATTTTCTTTTCAGAAATAAGGAATTCTAGCTTTGCATGCCTGTCAGTCACGCACTAAAACTTAGCATTTTCTTGTCAGAGATGTTGAAATCTGATTTTTTTTACTACGTATTACAAACAACAAACCGTCCCTTGGTTAATTTCTTTACTTTTTTCACAAATAGAGGTATAATTAGGCAGCTACCAAAGGCCTTAGGCCCTCTTTCCCGCAAAAAACTGCCCCTTTTAGTTCATCGCGGAGTTGTACCAACTGCCAAGGGGCGTGCGTTTTCCTTCAAATACAAAATGATATTTGTTGATTTCAAAATATAATGTAGCAGCGCCTTAGTGGGTAAATCTATACGCCAAACCCATGAACCAAAACAAGTTCCAACCGACGCCGCCGAAGAACTGGAAAAGGAGACTGCAGTCGAACCTACCGAAAGCAACCACCCAAAATGCGAAGACTTAGTGGTCGCTAACGGGAGGTGGTCTCTTACGAGAATCGAACCACAGGAGGATTCTTTGAGAAGAAAACTGGACACATCTACTTTAAGGAAGATAATTTATTGCATGCAATTTCCAAGTTAAGATATAACATATGTGCAGTTACATGTTGTTGTTCCTACCACAAGAGATCAGAAAACTCGTCAGGTGGTCGCTTACAAGAGGTTAAAAACAATGCAAAATCATTAAACAGTCGGCCCCAATTAGTGGCCGCGGGCGCTACAAAAAGAGATTCCAACTGTAAGACTTAAACCAGGTGGGTTTTGGTGTTTTGGATAGGTGGTCGCTTAAGGTAGGTAGTAGCACTTGGAGGATCAACTGTACTCTAAAAGAGTAAATCCCTTTTACGGCGATGCGACTTGGATTTGTCCATGGAAGATAAGACTCCTTGTTCACCACTTTTCAGCTGCTCTAACCAACTCCCACCCATGTCGAGTGCTTGCAAAACGTAGCATCATCTTGAAAAGAGAAGCATCAGAAAGGTCATCCTTGACGCCCCTGGCCTATCGCAATATGCAGCAACAGACTTGTATCGACGTAAGTAGCGTCGCGTTACTGCCCGGTTAGTAAATAGAGTAAAAACGTAACTTGACTACGTTTTTCAGTTTACAGCAGACCCGAGTTTTGTTTAAGGAAATACCTGCCTTTTGCTCTGGAGTATTAACGTCACTGTACCCGCAATGTCCCAGCTCGTGCCTTCACACCGAAACGACCGATCGAATCACTGTTAAGAGCGAATGCACAGAAAAATCGAGCAAACCGTGGCCACAGCTCAAAACCTAACCTACCCTCATTTTAAGTCTGTAATAAGGTTTTAATGAATTTATAACACTGCTGAGGTTTAATTTTCAAAATGCGGCCGAGTTTGGGAATTATTTGAGATTTTCCATTTCAAAGGTCTGCGGGCCTAAAATTAGCCGCCGAACAAGGCAATATAGCCTAGCGACAGAAATGAGCTGACTTTCATAAACGAGCGAATATATTGCCAATCTTCCACTTAAATCTCAAAAAGCAGACATCTAACAATTTCTGAATGGCTTCTTTTTTAGATTTAGAGTATAAAATATCGACGAACCAGCAGAATTTTGAAACGTAATTCGCATAATGCTTATAAATACAACAATTTACCGCTAAAACCAAAATCGAATTTTCTATATGGGGGAATTCTCCAAATCACCCCAAATCCCGCTTACTACCTAATGAGATATAGTACTTCAACATTATCTGAAAATTAGTCTGGTGTTCTTGCGAACGCTTGTGAAATAGATTGATTATTTTGAAGTTATTTTGCCCCAAACAACTGCTAATTGACCCCACGGTCAATTGCACGTGCACGTCACCTTAGTTTTATGCATCGATTTGAGCTCGTTAAAAGGGAGAAACTAACAAGATTCTTTTAATATGTACCTGTTTTAATGAAATACACGCAATCTTCAAAAGGACAGGCCGTTCAATGGGTAATTTCTGTTCTTGAGATCTTGTAGATTGTACCATGGCGTCTGCGAGTGGACCTGAGTCTAGGTCTGTTTTCCCGTGACTGTGAAATCAGAATAACATCATGAAATAATTCTCTCTCGAACCTTCGTAAATGAATCAGCTTTGCAGTGCCTTACCTGAGATAAAAAGTGGGCAGAATAGGAAAACATTCTAGCGCAATTTGGATCCTTTGCAGCACGTAGTGTATTTGCTAAGCGGCGATGGTATAATGACTCTTTTAAAAGTCAGGTGAGTAACTAATTAAAATTAGTTACTCACCTCCGATTGCGTGACCAGGCAATTATAGATTGTCTCCA